TGTGTGTGTGTATGTGGGGGGGAGTGTGTGTGTGTGTGTATGTGGGGAGGAGTGTGTGTGTGTGTGTGTGTATGTGGGGGGAGCATGTATGTGTGTGTGTGTGTGTGTGTGTGTGTAGCAAATCAAATGGCAATGTTGGAGAGTCAGTTCTCTCCTTCTGTGAGTGGGACCCGTGTGTGAGCACAGGCTTAGCAGCAACATCTTCCCCACTTGGGCATCTTGCTAAGTCACTTCTGCTGGCTTCTCTTGTTGGTACCTTCTTTCTTATTACTTTCACAGAAGGCAGACAACTGTGGGCTGCTGATACAGCTTGGTGAAGCACAAGGTTCAATTCCAAGCTCTCCTCCATCAAAAGGGAAAGATTTACATGATCAGAAGAGAAAGCAGAGTATCGTTTACTCCGGTTTGTAAATGAGAAAAAAAATCACAAAGCAAGGTCATGGGGGGCCACTTGCCCAGGATCACATAGAGAGAGGCAGAAGGACCAAGGTCTGGGAACAGAGATGCTGATGGAGTCCAAATCCAGAACTCCCAACCACTCAACCACAATAGCTCCCTAACCTCTCTGCTGCCATCTCCTCCTTCATAAGAACTTTAAGATGCTCAATGAGAAAAAAGAAAATTATGAATGGCTTTCTCATGCTAGATTCTTCAGTTATAAAAGAAAACTCAGAAAGCTATGCCTGGGATGTGAGAAGGGTAAGGACAGTAAACCACCATGCTGGGCCTCCAAAATGGAACATCTGGCTGGATTCTTTATCCCAGGAGATGGATCTTCCCCCTTTAGGAGAAAATAAGTAACTTACATATAACTTATTATCTGGAAATGGAAGTTTTACAGTGTGGGTTTTGGGTAATTTATTTCATGCTTATAAATCCAGTTACATTAATCATTTCATACCTGAATGGATTTTTTCCCACAGATATGTTAAGAGTTCATTTGTAGTTGGTTTTAATTTGGAAAGCAGCATTTGGCAAACAGGAACTTAATTAGTTAGGGGCCCGTTGGAGGGCTTTGACAGTGGCTTACCGGGAAGTGGTTATACTGACAACAATGAAGACCTACTTAACATGATGGAGTTCTGCTAAAAAAAGAAATGGATTCAACACTGACTTCCCCCTTAAGTTTAGCCAACCAGACAATTGAGGCTGGGTCGCTCCTGTCCCAGTACTGCTCCGTAGGTACTGCTCAACTGCAAGAATCACCTCCATTGAAGACCAATATGAACTCTGTAAACTCTTGCATCTTTGTGTGCCTTTTGTTTAAAAGACATCTCTAGTGCTGGGTGAGGATTGTCTCACAGGTATGAGGACCTGAATTTGGATTCCCAGAAGCTATGGAAAAAGCAGGGCAGGGCAGGGAGGGTCTGTTATCTCACTACTGACAGGAGATGGAGAGCCACAGATCTCCGGAAGCCCATATGACCAGCTAGCCTGGCCTGTGTAGTGATGTTCCAGGCCAGTGAGAGAGCTAGTCTCCAATAAAGGCGGAAGGTGCCTGAGGACCAACACACAAGGTTGTTCTCAGACCTTCCCACATCCATACATCCACACCCACACATGCACCCTACACTCTCACACACCTGACACACACGTGTGTGCGCGCACACAAAGATGTTTCCAAGGGAGATTACAAGACCACAGTTCCAGCTCAGAGCATGGTCCCAACATTGTTGTGCTGTTTAATTTGGTTTTGGAGTTTTTGTTTGTTTGGTTTGGTTTTTCATGACAGTTTCTCTGTGTAGCTCTGGCTGTCCTGAAGCTCACTTTGTAGACCAGGCTAGCCTTGAACTCACAAAGAACCACCTGCCTCTGCCTCCTGAGTGCTGGGATTAAAGGTGTGCCCCATCACCACCTGGTGTTTTGTCTGTTTTTTAAAATCGCCATATTTTATGTTCAGTTTGAACTGTGGAAAGGGACTATATCATCCAACATGGCAGTAGCGATTCAGCATACAAATCAATGACAATGGGGTACTGGTGTCATAACTGAACAGGCCATCTGTTTGAGAATGTCATCTGGGGATAAGGAAGCAGTCAGGTGTATATATAAACTGTTAATACAAACAATTAACACATGGGAAATCTGATAAGCCTGAAATTCCTGCTGTCACTTGGGGTACCACTTGGAAATAGGTAGTGAAAATCATCAAATTAAGAACAGGAAGTCACAAAAACCATAGACGAATCAGTGGTGGGTCCATCCTTAAGGTGGGCATTCAGCTAGTGGCTCCCACTTGATGTGTCATGCTTACTGAGGAGATCCACTGTGAGAAACAGTTTTCTTTTAAAATATTTTTATTACATTTATTTATTTATAAATGTGTGAGGTCAGAGGATAACTTGTACGAGCCAGTTCTCTCCTTTCACCATGTGAAATCCAGGGACAGAACTCAGTCAACAGGCTTGGGTGCAAGAGACTTTACCCTGTAAGCCAACTCACCGGACCAAGTTCAAGATCAACACCTTGGCAACATGATACATTGTCTCAAGAAAATTTTTGCAAGCCAGTGGTGGTGGGCCAAGCCTGTGACCTCTATACTAGAGAGGTGGACATGAGTAGATGCCTGGGGTTTGCCTGCCAGCCAGCCTAGTCTAACAGGCAACCTTCAGGTCAGTGAAATACCCTATTTCAAAATGAGGTGGGTGGCCCCTGATTCCCATCACCCAAGATTGTCCTCTGGCCTGAACACACACACACACACACCTATACACACATACATACACAACACATATACAAAAAATTAAAAATAAAAGACTCTATGGAGTAAGACCACTGTTGCCGTGTGAGAGCAAGGTCAGAGTCACCTGTGTAACTGTATCCCTGCATTGTATGTGTTTACAGTGATTTTTTAAAAATTTTTCACTTGGGCTGATGATTGAAGCCAGGGCCTTGAGAACACTAAGCAATGCTCTCCCACTGAGCCCCCCCCCCACACCCCAGTGCATTTCTCTGAATGAAACAGAAAGGTGGGCAGTGATAACTTAGCTCTTGAGCTCTGGGGACAAGCCAGGCACATGCCCTCGGAAGAGCATCTTCTCAGTGTCCTGGCATAGCCATGAAAGCTGAGTGCTTGTGAACTCTCTGCCAGGCAACATGCTGCACTTCTTTTGCAAAAGAGCTTAGATGCTGTGAAAGTGTAAATTACTAAAACCAGTAACCGTGCGCACTGCAGACTGGAAAAAAAAAAAAGAGTTAAAATGCACGAAAAACCAGAGCGATCCAAGGAGCACAGGGTGTGCAGGGTGCCACGTGGTACTGCCAGCAGTTCACCCATCCAGAAGGCAAGAGATGCTCTGTTCCTGAAGTAGCCTAAGCAGGAAGGGCGAGAGAGCTGCAGCGGCGATACCAGGGAGCTGGCTGGGCACGGAAGGCACTGGTGCAAGCATGGGGAGCTGAGTTCCATCCCCAGAACCCATTTAAAAAGGCCAGGCATAGAGCTGGAGAGATGGCTCAGCACCTAAGACAGCTTGCTGCTCTTGCCAAGAGCCAAAATTTGGTTCTCACATCAGGTACAGAACTCCACCTCAGAGGACCCAACACCTTCTTAAAGCCTCCACCAGTACACGCATGTACCTACCAACATACGAACCACATATACAAATAAATTAATTTAAAAAAAAATCTGGGTATGGTATGCTGGTGCCTGGTGGCAGCAGAGACAGGTGGGTTCCCTGAGGGTGGGAGTTTGTGTGTCCAGCTTAGTCTACTTGGTGAGTTTGAGGCAGTAAGAGATCTTGCTTGCACCTGAGGTGCAAAACTTGAGATTGCCTTCTGACTCCACACATACGCATGCAAACACATACACACACATGCGCCTGCACAGACACACATGCACCTGAATAAGCAGGAGCATAAACACACACACACACACACACACACACACACACACACACACACACGAGGCTGGAGTGGAAACACCTGAGGTTCAGGTCCCTGCTATGGGGCAGCACACTCCCTGCAGAGCTGGCCTGGCACCTTGTTTATGTTGATATGCAGGGGAGGCCAGGGTCCTGCAGCCTTCACAGTCTCCAGCTCCAGCTTCTTCAGATGGGCAGCTGCTTCGCTGTACAGCGCAGGTGCTCCTGGACTCAGTTCTACAGTGTGGTCAGGGGAGAGAAAAAAGCAGATGTTCAAAGACAGCTAGATACAGGGGGCCAGAGATCCCGCAGTCGCCTGACTCCCAGGTCCTTTTCTGCCCTTCCAGCTGGCTGGGTTGACATCACGGTTTCTTAACCTTCCTCCCTTGGATATGAGCTGGGCATGATGTTTGACCCCTCCGAGCCTCTAAGCCATTTAGAAATGAAAATAGAAATCACTTATCTTGCTGGAGTATTAAGTGAGATTATTCTCATAAAAAGACTTAAATTTGGAAAGGTCCTTTACATGCTGAAAAGACAGCCGTCCAGGCTGTTAGGCATGACGAGGTGCCTCAGAGAGTCATGTCATGCTTCTTAAAATCAAAGCCGTTGGCCTTTTGTATTGTGGTGCATTTGTTTGCCACCACGCCCCTCTCTAGCTTGGATTTATTCATTAATACATTAAACACCCACTAAATATTAAATATTCATTATCCAATAAAGCTTGTGCTTTATTGCTTGTTAACAACTGGCATCTGGGGAGTCGAAAATAAACAAGACATGATTCTAGTGAAAGTGAAGGGAAGACATTCCACATAAAAGCATTAAGAGCTTAAGACACCCTCACCACAGCTGGGGATGCAGGAAGCATGCAGGGATGCTGCACTGAAGCCACGTGAGCTGGCTGCCGGGGCATGTGGGGTCTTACTAGGGCTGAGGAAAAGCATTGCGGATGGAGGAACCATCAGACACAAAGGACAGGGCTGGAATTGCGAGGCATTTTGTGAAAGGGCAGAAGTTCTGTGGAGCTGGAGTGTGGGAAGGATGGGGGAGGCTGAGACCACAGGGGGAGGCGTTTGGAGGTCTGTCACGTGACCACGCTCAGCGCATGGACACGGGGCAGGGAGGAACAGAAGGTCTTAACACTGACAGTGGAAGTTTCTCTATGGGGATTGAACTGCAGGATGGATACTGTCAGGAGGCCACGCCAGTCATCTCTACGCAAATGAATGAGGTGAACGAGGGCAAGGGTAGCGTGGGCAGTGCTTGGGCTGAGAGTTCCCATCTTCCATTTAGCTAACCTCTAATGGTTCTCATGGTGTGAAGATGTATCTGGACAGCTCACAGTTGTACACAGGGTCAGGCTAGAAGGTTCCAAGATTCTCACTACACACCCTCTCTCCAGTTCACAGAGGGACCAAACCCCGGATTGTATCTTGGGCTGCTCAGTGAGAACTGGCGTCCGGACCTCTGACTGCTCTGTCTCAGTGGTCCTAAAGGGAGTATGGACGAGGTTTTTGTTACGTGGAAGTGGGAAAAGGTCGCCTCGGGCAAAAGTGGGACGGAGAGAGGAGCAGGGGTGGGGGGGGAAGTCAGCAAGCAGAAATCATATTTGAAAAAATGTCATAATGAAACACAACACTGCTTGCTAGTGAAAATGAACAGATGTAGACAAGCAATAAAATAATGACACAAATGAAAAATAAGGTTATATCTGGTGGTGGTACAGCCTTTAATCCCATCACTTAGGGAGGCAGAGGCAAGGAGATCTTTGAGAGTTTATGGTCAGCCTAGACTATACAGTGAGAAAGAGAAGAAAGAAAAAGAAAAACGAATTCTTTGCCTCAGTATATCAAAGATAAATTCCTAAAAGAGATTGAAGGTAAGTTAAGAAATAATACAACATTCAAGATGCAAGCCCATTCTTACTAGAGTTAGCAGGGACCAAATGAGTCATATTACCTAACTGCGTACTTTATTGTCAACGTCTACAGGATAGACACTACCACAGGCTCACTGGATGCTCGACACCTCTTTGCTGTTGGAAGCTGGTGTCACAAAAGGGCAGAGTTTATTGTGACCAGGGCAAGAATCCCAGCCACCATCTGACTCCCCCCTTCTCCACTGCTGGAGCCCAGGATCCTGCGCCGAGCACTGCAAGGGCAGAAGTTTAAGCTACGAGGCAGGAAGGAGCGGCCATTTATAATAACACAGAAGCAGGAAACCACCAAGTCTAGATCACCCTGCCTGCAGGCACCAGACTCTATAAGCAAGCTGCCCAAATCCAGTAGCCATGGCAACACCCTCCCTTCTGTCCCTGACTGGCCCTCGGCACCCCACCCTGCTCCCTCTACACACTCACTTGTGAGGGCCTTGCTGGAGTTCGGTGACCGCAGCGGTGCCTCTTTATTCTCCAGAGTCAGCGAAAGGCCGTAGTTGGAGTGGTGTTGGTGCTGGTGGTGATGCCGCCCCGAGGCTTTAGGGGCAAATGGGGTACCCCCGTTCTCCTCGAGGCCGAAAGGCAGCCTTTCTGTGGGGCTGAGCGCTGGGGACGGGAGCGGGTAGCTGAGGCAGGCAACAAAGTCAGGGTTTAGAACAACACAACGTTTTGCTAACCCCTCAAACTCTAAGACCACGAAGCTTAAAAGACTCCCTACTTAAAATAGGGCATTGGGCCAAACAGTATGCAAAAAAAATGAACCAAAGTGGGAATTTGTATGTTAGTGATCTGACATCTTGAATCTTAAAAATGTCTTCACTTTGAAATGGAATAAAACAGCCTGCATTTTAGAAACTCATTTTCAGGGCTAGAGAGATGGTTCAGTGGTTAAGAGCACTGACTACTCTTCTAAAGGACCTAGGTTCAGTTCCTAGCACCCACACAGCAGCTCACAAGCATCTGTAACTCCAGTTCCAGAGGATCTGATGCCCTCTTCTAGCCTCCACAGGCACTGCATGCACACGACTGACAAAAGTGTGCGCGCGCGCGCACGCACGCACGCACGCATGCACGAAAACACTCATACAAATAAAAATCAATGTCTTTTGAATAAGGCATCTTCTAAATGCAAGGTGGAAGAAAGAAAAACAATAAATAATGCTTAAATGAGCCTATGTTACACACCAGAGTATTCATTCACATGCTCCTAACTTTTAACACCCGAAAGCTAAAAGAGAGGGGCTCTCTTTCCAGGCGGCTCACAATTACCTCTACTTCCAGCTAAGAGGACCCACTGCCCTCTTCTGGTCTCCTTGGGTACTACACTCATGTGCACAAACCCACACACAGATCCACGTAAATAGAAAATAAAACCTTTTTAAAAATTATTTTTCTTGGCAATGCTTATATTAAAGCAAGTATATCAATACAATGCCATATCAACTAAATGGTTTTTTTTCTGACTATAAAAGTAATTAAGCTGGGCAGTGGTGGTGCACGCCTTTAATCCCAGCACTTGGGAGGCAGAGGCAGGCGGATTTCTGAGTTCGAGGCCAGCCTGGTCTACAGAGTGACTTCCAGGACAGCCAGGGCTACACAGAGAAACCCTGTCTTGAAAAACCAAAAAGAAAAACAAAACAAAAAAGTAATTAAAATAGTTTTATGGACTCATAAAGTACTGTCATACCAGAACACCATGTTTATAGTGTGCAGTAAGTCAGTCAGTTCTGGCTATCAGGATGTAAACAGAAGCTTCTTGTGACCATCTTTCCCAGACATAAAGTAGGTATATCCCTGCTAAAGCATGGAGGGAGGGAAGATGAGCAGAAGTTAATTGTGGGTGGAGTGTGAAATACTCTAACGGTATCATTTGAGCACCTAGATTCAGCTATACCTGAAGGTGATCCTACAGCTAAATCTTTCAATAAGGTTCACAAAATGCATTCATTTGTTGATTGATTGGTTGATTGATTAATTGAGGTAGTTGGGTTTCTTTCATTTATAGTCACATGACCTAAAGCAGTACTCATTTATTGTTTCTGTGGACAGAAACAATAAAGGGTGGACTGCTGTGGAATTTAAGATGAACGGGTGTTAGGTAGGAGGCATTACAGGCCTAAGAAATGGTATGTCAAAGGTCAGGTGAGCAGGGAGGGCAGAGTATACGGAGAGCAGGGAGCGAAGGGAGCAGCAGGAAGTGCAGTTCAAATGACAGGCTGGACTAGTTTCAGGGTGAAGCAATCAGGATTATCATCTGAGCAACAGGGGACCGTGGAAAGGATTTGAGCTGGCCCTGGGATGGATGTTTCTGTTAGTGTGAGCACGGCTTGGGGACACTGGGAAAGGAGGTGGGACTGGGCCTGGTTAGCAGAGGCAGGAAGAGTCCAGAAGCAAAGGTATGCTTGCCACCATTGATGCAGGAGCTGGATCCTTCAGCCACCCTGGCTGCTTTGTGGAGACTCACTCAAGGGTACTCCTATAGGGTATGCACCTGGAGCAACCCTCTCACAGGGGTGGCCTGAAACCACCAGAAAACACAGATATTTACAATTTATAACAGCAGCAAAATTACAGTTATGAAGTAGCAACGAAAGTGACTTTATGGTTGGGGGTCACCACAACATGAGGAACTGTATTAATGAATCACAACATTAGGAAGGTTGAGAACCACTGACCTGGGGGAAGTGGAAGATGACCTGATTTTGATCTCTGGAGATCTCCATCCTTACCTCTTTCCCTTAGAAACAGTTCATGTTACTCACCTTCCTATTGGGGGCATTAGAAAAGCACACCAAGTTGCAACTAAAGCTCTCTTTCCTGGGTCCAGCCACAGCCCTGCAGGGAACCCTTAACCACTGTTCTACAGAACATGTGGGGCAGCAATTGCTGGACTTTTCCAAAGCTAAGAAGGTGTGTGGCTAGGATTTGTACATCTGCAAATCCCACTGACATTCTTTCCCATCCTTAAAATGTACTGAAGATATTTGCCCCATAGGAGTGCAGCGGGGCTCTCAGAAGAGCAGGTGTCCTTTTGCGGGGCTGGCAATGGCTTCCCAGTCTGTGACTGGCCTTCCTCTGCCATGATCCTCACCATTTCTGGCCTGCTCAGAGTCTGAGTGGCCTTAGTATTGTCTAGTCATGAGGGACAGATCAGTGAGGAGGTCAGAGAGACAGAGAAACTGGAGAGAGCCACTGGCTGGATGCAAGAAGAGATCATGGAGACATGGAGGGGCAAGGAAATGGCAGGCAAATGGTACATCATCCGTGAAAGAAGGGAGGCATGGAGGAAGGGAGGCTCTGCTGAGCTTCAAATGTTCACAGTGAGTATGGGGATGAGCACCCGCAGGGAAACATGGCCAAGAGCAGGGAGCTGGCATCCCATCAGGCCTGGACGAGGAGTTGGAGAGCTTTGAGGAATGGTTCCTGAAAGATGGCAAGCAGACACCACATCAGATGCCAGGTCCATCTTCACCCTCTGCCCAGGGTATAAGAATTCTGAGGTTGGGCCCAGCTCAGAGAGAAAGTGCTGTGGTTGGTTGAGTAATGTCTCTCACAGGCTGGACAGGCCACAGTGGTATCACAATCTTGTCTCTACATGTGCAAAGGGTACACTTTTTTACTTCAAAAAAAAATACAGCATGCAGAGTAAAACAGACAAATAAATCAACAAACAAATCAAAACCCATGAAAACAAAAAGCCCCATCTACATGCCACAAATGAGAAGTCATATAACATGTCAAATAAAATATGCATTCATGATCTGTCTTAAACCTACCTAAGGGGTGGGAGTGGATTAAGAAGACAAATGGGAAGAGAATAGACAAGAATGGAAGAAACTGCCTGGGCTAGAGCAGTAAATTTGGTCCAGCTAAGGGTTCCAGGAAGAATAACTGTTCCTCTTGTGAGGCAATTCCCTCTGATATCAAGACTCAGGAAGAAAACAACTCATAAGTCTCAGCAAGTTCCTGAAACATAACAGGCTCACAAGGTTCCTCCCTCCCCAAGGTTACATAAGCAAGGGCTGTTGAAGAGAGGAAATGCTTCAGCCTACTGAGCTGCTTGTAAGTCATTCAGAGAGAGTTCCAGTTCCCCCAGAGTTCCAGCTTTGCTGTCACCCCTGCTAAGGTGGGCTTTTAGTGATGAGGCTGCCTTTGAGTCATCTGAGCTCCTGTAAGTAACTCCATTGAATTCATTAGTCACCAAGTTGGAGTTTGGTGGTGTTTGTTACTTTGGTCTGTTGTTGGATCTCTATCTGGGTGAGTAAACATTTGTTCATATCTCTCCAGGAACAGTGTCACAGTGGAATGAGTTCAGAACAGTCTCTGCTCACACACAGGGACCATCCTGAAGATGCAAACATGGAATTTTGTTGGTTATAGATCTGCTAAGGAGATTTCTCAGGGCCTCATGCTCGTGGGTCATCCTTGCAGGATTCTTAAAATCAACATTAACAAAGACTGTGAGGTAAATGGTATCTACAAGGCTGTGCATCTGCCCCATTGGCCTAAGCAAAGTCAGACTCACAGTATAAGGACCAAAACACATGCAGCAACACACCAGCCTTAGGGGCATTGGCCAAGGGTCAGGATACTAGGTCATCTCCATACTCACTAGAGACTGAGGCTCAAGGGGTGTTTGAGATTCTGCAAAGTCACAGTATTTCTAGAAACTACCACCAGAATTGTTACCAGGACAGGGCAAGGAAAGGGGGAAGCTGAACTCTGGACTTTCTCTGGAAAAGAAGGCCAAGTGAGGGTGCTCTTGAGAAGCTAATCATAACCTTTGCAGTGTAGGCAGTTTTGGGTGACACGGGCCCTGGGGATCTAAGCTGGGATAAGAAATCACAGAATCGTATAATGGAGCCCTCAGATACCCTCTGGTTCTATAGGTTTAAACTCAGGCTGGATGTTAAGGTCACTAGGAAAATTCTTACATTCTACTGGAGGGAGTGTAAGATGGTTCATTCAGTTTGAAAAAAACAGCCTGGTGGATCCTCAAAGAGTTAAAGATATCATTACATGGTCCAGCAATTCATACCAAGATAAGTATCCAAGGGAAAGAAAAGATCCATGAAAAACTTGTACCTGAAACAGTATTATTCATAATCACGCAAAGGTAGAGAGACAACCAAGTTCATTGATTAACAGATAGCCAAAATGTGGTATATCAATACAACAGAAAATTACTAAACCATGAAGAAGCAGTGAACTACAAACTCACGTTACAATTTAAATGAACCTTGAAAACATTATGCTATCTGGAAGAAGACAGACGTCAAAGTCCACATATGTGATTTATGATATGTATCTTATGGGACACGTGTAGAACAGACAAATGGGTTGGAGGGCAAAGGTTAGGAGTTATTTAGGAGTTGGAACAGTGGGAGAAATCAGGATTAAAGACTATTATTACTCAATTTCTTGGGGAGGAATGAACTGTTCCTAAAATAGCAAAATCCATGACCAAACAACTTCATAAATATAACCAACTGTCTATTTTGCTGAACTGTACACTGTGAGAGAGATCTCAGTAAAGCTGGAGACCTTTAGAAATATGGGTGTTAGCGCTCCTCTAGACATGGTCACCTAGCTCTAAATCCTGCAGCTGGCCTGGGAATTACACCTT